TTAATATTAATCTGAAAAATCCGTTATTAACAATGAATAGCATGAACGAAATAACGATATCTCTTTTATTAAGTGAAAAAAAGCTGTTAATAAGCCAAAAAAATGATTAATCGCCAGATTGTGATGGACTACCTGCTAGATTTAAGTCTTACTGGGTGATCGTATGACTTAGTGTACATATACGCGGCATTCATACAATGTACAGAGAACAGAATGTTGTCGCTTTCTCGGGGACTCCGCTTAATTCAGACAGAAAAAATAAAAGAAAGCTCCACGAAAACTGGAGACCCATAATTCTTCCAAACCAAGATTATAAAATTATGGCTTTATTTGTGCTCTCACCAAGCTTACAACAAGTCTTAAACACAGTAATCAATAGTGACCAAACCGCATGCCCAAAAAAACGTTTCACCAGTCATATATATATATAATAATAAATTATACTGAATATATTTTTAAATTTTTGCAAAGCTTTTGACACTATAGAGTAGCCTATTTTTATTTAAAGTAATGAATACATTCAATTTCTGAAATGAGTTCATTAAATAAATCAACTGTCAATTGAAGTGTGCTACGTATTTCAGCCTTTTTTTATTTGCAACGCGGTGCTCGACAATGTTGTCCAGCCTTGGTTTTCCAATGACTCATAATTATCTAACGAACTACGAAGGTAGCCGATAATACCACACATGTTATTTCTAAAAAAAATCTATAAAGTCGTAATTGATCTTGGCTTATGCTAAATATTAAAAAAAATAATAGCATCATGAAAAAAACAGATCCACTGCCTCATATAGCGATATATATGGTACCTTGTTCTCAAATTATGTTTAAAAATGCGTGGTATGAGAAGGCGTTCGTTAAGAAAATTGAAGCCATTGAAAATATATATGAACAGTTAAACGGAAAAAAATGCTATAATTAACAAACATCTCGTGTGTATTTATTTCCTTTACCATTCTTAATATGTTCTTTAAATTTTTACAAAATCAGCCGCAGAACTATTATCGGTAATTGTGATGAAGGTGACATTCAAACGCACAACATCTTCTTGAAACAACTTTTTTTTTTCGGGCATCGTTTATTATGTTGGCAAACGATTATGGCGGTTCTATTGCATCCTGGGAACGCATTTCTATATGCGTTATATGTCAATCACATCTCGATAAAATAATACATAATTTTTCTTGAACCAAAACATTAGCCCGATTTACATGTTTTTTTTTTTTTTTTTTACATATATTAAATTGAAACGTGATGTGAAGCTGGTGGGAGGCTTTCTAACAGGAATACTGCAAAGACATTATTCAACGGGAAATTTGATAAACATATACAGCAATATAAGGGTGGGTACTGCTTTTGATGCATTTGGTACAACCCTGAATCATGCGCATTGGTGATATCGTTGGCAACAAAGCCGCAGTAACGTTCTACGTTGCTAAGACGCGCCACACTGCGTGGGCTGCTGTGGAACGCCGCTCGAAGAACCGGTGAAAACAGTTAAAAATCAGGACAAACTTTGAAGTAATCCGGAGCAACCAAATTTATATATGTTGCACATGTAGGGGTTATCAAATTACATTATTCACGAGAGTCTCAACAACTATCCAAAAGTACAGTTTTCTGAGAGTTTCGGCTTTTGTCAGAAAACCGTTTTGTTTTCACCCTGGTGATTGCCAGGCGGTGAAAATGCCCGGATGTCTGCTCCGAGAATACCGAAGTACTGTTGTACAATTATAATATTATGACTGAAATGACCAATCTTAAATTGCTACTAACATGTCAGCTTTAATGATCCATATGACATAATACGTCCACATCTTACCTCGTTTCAGTCAACTATCACGAGGAAAGCAAATCGTGCTATGTTAATCACCGCAGCCATATTTCGATTTAGAATGTAAAGACGAGTATTTGCTAATGTTACAGTGGATAATAAGAAGATAGAGTCCTTCCTCAACTTCTGAGAATTAATTACCTGCTAAATATATTAAATGTTATAGTTTTCGCAATGATATAAATCGGAAATTCAAACTCGTGGCCACTGGTGTACATGGCTGAAATCATGTAATTGGAACTCAACTGATTTTATATGCAAATATGTTTTCAACTATAATTCTAAAGTCATAAATGGCACATCGTATAGACGTGGACCAGATTATGTTTCATACTTTGGTAAATACAGACTCGGGGTTGGAATATGAACTGTAATAAAGGTGTAAGCACATTGCATCAACAGATTCCGAAGTGTTTACTTAACTAACCCTTACTGTACTAGACTGACATGCAGGTGTTGGTTGTCAAATGTGGATATATGACCCTGCAAAGCAGTACCAATATTTACTAATCCATACGGCACTGTTCCCCTATAAATCACGTGGTTACATTGCATGTGTCACAACAAAGTTCGGTAACTATGCTCGGAGATGGTGTCTCCATTGGTGATGTGAACGAACTATTTATATTTAGTATAAATGGTGTTATTTCTTTTTAGATTTTCAGATAAAATGACATGGATAACAAACGTTTATTTTGGCGTTCAATGGGTTAAAGTCCGTACAATAAGTTCATATTTGTAAATGTTTTTATCCATATTATTATTATTATTATTATTATTATTATTATTATTATTATTATTCATTGGGCTTGTTTGTTATTAAGCACCGTTTGTTAGATTTATTGATTGAGTCCATCTTTAAATTAAAGCCCGTACGTACAATGCCAATCACGCATATGTGTTTTTAGTTTTTCTTCCCAGGAATACTACAGTGTTTTTCAAATGAAAAATTTGGTTCTCATAATGCCAAACCAAATGACTATATTAAACATACAAGTTTGCGCCAATATCTTTAAGTCTTCGGCCTTGATATCACCCATTTCACGACGCAATTTTCTATCGAGTCAATTATAATCAATATAGAAGCAATAGTAGAGTAGCCAACGTGTGTTTCAAAAGTTACGTCACAAGTCGTTGGAACGCCACCTTGGAAACGGCCAAGTGGTTTCGTTCGTTTGATACATTTCCCAATAACGCAACCCTCTAAAGACACGAGGTGTTACATATGCTGCGTGTATGTTTCAATTCCAATAGAAATTGAGTTTTATCCCAATGTCAATTTACGAATTCGAAAACTAAGCCAAATACGAACCCGAATATAATGTGAACTTATTCCAAATCAGAAATGCAGCTGCTTCGATTTTAATTAAGTCTAGGGAATAAAAAAATATTGACAGTACTGTGAAAATCATGCAATTTTAGCGAATCTTACTCAATGTATGAATTAAGAAAATCTCAATTTAGCTAAAAGTGTCACCTTTAATTGTGGGAATATATTTTATCTTAAATTAGCGACATCTTGGATTAGCGAAATTAAAGATTAGCTAAATTAGCTAAAATAGCATGTTTTATCTAAAACTACACGTTTTTTCAGTATAACACACATTCCAGAGAAATGACTATACGGCCTAGCAAGCAATATAAAAAGAACACGTCCTTTCAGTCTCTCACATCTAGATCCCGTCTGGACTTTAATCCAGCAATGAATGTAAACACTATATATACACATAGCTATTAAAGTATGCCACCCGCGTGCATTTATTTAGCTGATGTTTGTCTATCGTCATATAAATGATATATGTTTCATATTGGTTAATGTTTAACGTATATTGTGTGTGCTGTAAAGCACGTCGACATAGGCTGATGCAAATTCGACTAACTTCACGAAATTGCAAAACCTCAGTGTCAATAATTTATTTCATTATAATACTGTACAATGACTAATTTTCACTGGGTTTAAATTTTACTGATTTACCATTTCAGGCATATTCAGTGGGTTTTAAATTCACAGTTTTATCATTTAGCTGAATTTTACATATTCGCTGGGTTTTAATTTAGCTCATATTCTAGTCAGCGAAATAAGCTAAATTAAAACCCAGTGAATAATTAACCCTTTTACAGTAACCTATTTTATCATAATTTAGCTATTATCATATTAGCGACATTCAATTTGCAGGATATCTGTAGACCGGCATGTAATCTCTTGTAACCCGGCCTTCGCCATATATACAGAATATTTTATTTTTATTGAAAAAACACCAAAAAATGAACAAGACACTGTATGAAAGTCTAGGACAGCTGTTAAAATAACACGCTAGATGAGAAAGTCGTGTTTGATCATAATATAAATAAATCACTTAGGAATATATGTTTTATATAGGTCACGGTCTAAATGTTTGTAGGCTTGGTCATTTACCCCGGTAAGGACACTCGCCTCTAAATCATTTAGTATTACTGATTGTAATTACAAAACATGTTTTCCATAAATCGCGCCCCCAGTGACGATGCGCTGCTGTGACGTAAATGAGGGACACGAAGACCGGTCTAGAAAAATAGCATCGATATCATAGTTTTGATCTGTATTCGTCTATCAACAAAGATTTGAGGGAGGTTTTATTAGATTCCCGATGATCCACGAGCAAACAACCAAACATGGTTGTCCATGTGTACGAAATCATGGCTACGTCATAGAAGCGTTTTGCCACTAGAGGGCGCGATCTATAATCTGAACGAAGAAGTATGAAAGAAAATTTCGTTTTCCTGCTGAATTTTATAATAGTTTGTTTTTCCAAACTTCTCAGGGATTCATCACACGTCAACACAGACTAGTGACAAAGCCTTTGCTTTGGCAAGCAAACAACGCCGCTGACATTAAATTTATTTGCGTCCGGACAAACATCCCACGCTAATAAAAAGTAGTTAAACAAATACAGTATCATACATTTATGTCTTCCAGATTATTTATTACCACCTCCTGATTGGTAAACACATCGATGTGAGTGACTGTGCGTGCGCACTTCACTCTCTGTGATCAGACTCTTCAGTACTTCGCGTAGAAAACGCTGCACCTTATTGTGAACGTACTTTTCTGGCATCTTCTGAAGAACATGTCTGGTAAATGGAATCACGGTCTGTGTGGCTGCTTCAATGATTTAGGTCTGTGCATCGTGACGTACTTCGTGCCATGCTATACCGCTGGGAAGAACGCCGAGGCAGTCGGCGAAGGTTGTCTGCTCCATACATTGCTCTACTTGGTCCCTATCGTCCATTGCATCTGTGCGGCTCAGATCCGAGGCAAGATCCGTCACGATCGAAGTATAAAGGGAAGTAATTTGAACGACATGTTAATGCACTGCTTCTGTCCGTATTGCTCACTCACACAAGAAGCACAGGAATTGAAGTCTGTACCGAGCGATGCTCCAATGGCGAGGTTTTAATCACTGGTCGACGAAAACATCCAAGAGAATCTGGGGCTTGTCGCCAAAGCCTGCACACAAAAGAACCGAAATTTTGCCACATTAGTGAGATACTTAATTAGTCGTTTTTTAACCTGGTACTTAACTGCGCTGTTCAAACTCATGACATATATATTTAACACGTAGTACGTCGAGTTTATCTACCTATTTTATCTACATTATGATATCATTAACTTTCGAAATCTCCTCTCGACAATACTCAAACGTTTTCTGACGCTGAAAGACAAAAGCGAAACAGAAAAGAAAAGTCTTTGAACAGGACAGTGATCGCTTGCCACCCTAACCTTGAACTTAATGAGAAAAAAGTGACGGCAGCTGGGATGATGATGACGGTGACGCCATGACCACGTGATCCCCCGAACACAATATCATTGCCTATATGTCTAGAGGCTGATCTGGAAAAGTGGTAGGGGTTTGTCGACTGCACCACTGGACGCACACTCTTTTTCAGACAATTTCTTAATAGTGTTCACTTTTTCAGACCTTGGTTGTTTTTTGACAGAAGTGATGAATTTTATGAGTCATTTTCTGACAGAATTAATTAACTTTTACTGCTTAAGGAAGATTTTAAGCAATGTTTAAGCTTTACATTTATACTTCCAGTAATGTATGTTGAAAGGGTAGAACACTTTTCGAACAAAAGCGCTATATTTCAGATACTGTGGCTGAAAAGGGATCCCTGTGATTGGAAGCCCTGCCAGAACGACATTACAGCGACGTTTTAGCGACGTTGCTTGCTTCCATTTATATTCGTTTTTATATTTCCTGACTTATTGGGATTCTCGACTCATTTCTGATTTTGTGGTATTTCGGCTACAAAAACCGTTTTTAATTTCATGTTTTGAATATCATCACCACAGTCGTTGCTGTCGCGTAGGACCCATGAGACATGTGACTACGTTTGTGTACACGGAATTTGAACACACTGCGTGGTGTCTATAGCGTAGTCTAAAATCCTACATAATTGTTTTTTATTGAAGTTCCGCTTCAAAATAACTGTAGTTTTATCTAAGGCTTATGATTTTATAAATATAAAAACCTGTTAGTTCACTCCCCATAATGTGTTTACGTTTGTTTACAAAGATTAAAAGTTTGCCAGCAACTCAGTCCACGTTACATTTAGACACAATTTTTACCATGCATCATAAAGTCAACAAATAACTTGAGTTTACTACTAATGCATGCGTCATCTTCTTGAGAAGTGTTTGTACTGTATTCGAACAGTAACAAGTGCCAAGCGCCGAGCCTAAGTTCTAATGAAATGGTATACCTGTCATATAGACGCCCATCAGCGGTAAGTCAGCATTGCATAGGTTATGACTTACGTGTAATCCCGTGATAAATGTAGCGAGTAGATGATATATGGCTACTAATCTATGTCAGCCTTGATACAGGCATACTGCTAGTGTTTTTATATTTTTACAAAGAACTGACATGTGTGTCTCATAAAAT